AGCTCCGCTTTGAGCAGGGCAGTTCTTCAGCCTACTTGGCATTGATCTCCTTCAGAGAGGGGCCTGATGAGGGGTTAATTGAAATCCCTCTCCACCAACCTTCTTGGTCTCCAAGGAAGCCATGGAGTCTCAGGTTGAGACATTTGCATGGGACCTTGGAAAAAAACAGCCAACTTCCAAGGTCAGGGCAGTAGAGGGTCAGCTCATTGGGCCTATCTACTTGCAGTGACCACATGTCATCTCTTTAAATGATACATGAAGACCTAAAGCCTTCCCATCTTTTGGGATCCACTCTCTTGCCCTCTGTCTGCCCCTTGATCAGAATTCCTTAGATGCCATTGGTACAGTCCTTTACAAAGCAAAACAAAAATGGAAACTTAAGTAATAAACTTCAGGTTAAGCGGGAAATTCTTCGGGGACTTTCCTCCCCAGGCTAAGGATGGTCAGTGGTTACTGCTAGTTACCAAAGAGCGGTCCAGCCATGCACTCAGGACCATCTCCAACAGGGACAACCAATGCGAAAGGTGAGAGAAACAGAATGGAAAACTGACTTGGTGGCTGGAATGCAATCCCTGGCCTTAGTCAACACAGGCTGCCTTGGCAAAAGAGCATAGGCATGTATTTTCACAATTTTGGAGCCTGGAAGTTGGACACCAGGATGCCAGCATTGTTGGTTTCCAGTTAGGCCTCTTTCATGGTTTGAAGATGGCTGCCATCCTGCTGGGTGCACAGGTGGGGGTGGGGGGGTGGGGGAGTGCTGGAGTCCTTTTTTCCTCTACATTTTTTTTTATTGGTGCATTCGAGTTGTACACGATGGTAGGATTTGTCTTACATATACTTTTGTCGTTCATATTACATGCACACAACAAAACAATATAATTTGGCGAGTATTCGTCCTAGCACATCCCTCCTCTGGTGTCTCTTCTTATAAAAAACACTAATCTCAGATCAGGGCCTTACTCTTTTGACCTCATTTAACTTAATGATTTCCTGAGTGGCCCCATGTCTAAATACAGCTAGCCTGGGAATCAGAATGACAACACAGGAATTTGGGGGGAGGATATGAACATTCAGTCCCAAACAACATTCAGTCCCAATCTCAGGAAGGAATCACTTTAAAAGAACCTGACAGCATTAATATTTTATGTGATTACAAATACAATAGGTGTGCATTATGAAAAATATAGAATAAAACAAAGACGAAAATCACTCATCCTATGAAGAAGATGAAACATAACAACCACAAATGTGAGCCTTTTACTAAGATCCGAGGGATAATGGCATCACAGATTCATCTGTTCACACGTGTGTGCGCACGCCACTTTCGCTGCTTGTCCGAAAACCTAGGGGAAGAGCTGTGGAGTTTGTATAAAGATTATGCAAGCCCATCAGAGCGCTTTTGTTTGCATGCAACTCATGTAAGAGTAAATATTCCATAACTGCTGTATATAAGCGAGGAAGAGAACCTAAAACCATGGTTGCTGGCTAAGATACAGATCATGCTCTGCTGTCTTACCATATTTTCTCCACATTGCTTTTAAAAACATTTTTCATATTACATGCCCCATCTCATATCACATTAACCCAAATAAAAATGTCATTATCCATTCCGCTCGACAGACAGCAGGCAGAGTATAGTAGAAAATTGCAGTCACGTCAGCCAGGAACAAAGCATTCTAGTCGAGAGCACGTGAAGAGCCGATGGTAGGCAGCTGGTCCGGTTCCCTTTTGCATTGTCCAGGCCTATGGTTGGATTCAGTCTGAGTGGATCTCTCTCAACACCCAGGACGTGCTTCTGAAGAGCTATGTGTAAATCAAATTTTATATTGCATCTCTTTTGTTACCCGAAGGAAGCTTTGAGCCTGGTATCTAAAGAGACTTCCTTTCAAACAGCTTTTTACCATGTTACTCTTCCTCTGAAATACATCTTTAAAGATATTTCAAGATCTGGGATTTTATTAAAATAGTGTGCATTCATACCGCTAAGTTTATTAAAATAATTGAAGGAATATATATAGTAGCCAGGGAAGTTAATCATAGAAATGTGGCTTTGATAGTACTGAGTTCTCCAAATATTAGGGAGGTCGGCGGCATCTTGGAAATGACGGCTCAGAGGCCATTTGGGGGACCAGTCACACCACTTTTGTACTGATGGATGATTTAAATCATGATTTGTGAGAATTTAGAAAAGACTGCCGTAGTCATGAAGGGTCAGCACAGAGTGAACCTCAGGATGGGTTGTGGAGGTAAATGACATTTCTGCCTTCGTCAGTCATTTTGACAAAGTCCACCGCAGCCCATCATTGGTAAGATGGGGCCTGGTGCAATATTTACTGAGGTTTGTTTGTGGTTGGCCAAAGGATCGTGGAAAATTCTGCAATTTTCTAAAACAGCTTTGTAGCGAGGGCCACAGGACTCTGCACTTGAACCTTTCTCCAAAGCCACAAACTGAAGGAAGACTTAGAAGACACACTTAGCAAATGTTAGAGGAGACGAAGAAGAGCCCACGTTCCACAGGAATGCCCCCCAGGGCTTCTCAGGACCAACTGCTTCAGAGAGGAGAGCAGAGCACACGGGGGACCGGGGGACACGAGCCTCTCCTTACACCACAGAGCATGTGGGGCTCACTTGCAGGGAGTTAGCTGTCAGAGGGAGGGTTTTAGCAAAGCTGTGTGCTCCCTACCAATATCCCACCACCCGTGGCCCAGACTGCCCCGCCTTACCTGGCTTCTCCATCACCTGAATGCCTTAGGGTAGCTCAGAGATTGTTCTGCTCAGAATACAGTTCTGGCACTTTTTCCAGAAATAAAAGCAATATAAATGTAAAGCCATTCTAATGAATGGATGATGCTAAAGGGCCAAAAAATCAGTTGCTCATGGCGATGATTCATGAAGAAGACCTTGTGGTTTTCATTAACCTGAACCTCGGTATTTGTCTGTATTACCACTGTCTGAAAAAGCCAACCTGGCCTTGAGATTGACATGCCAGGTACAGATCACAGGAAGTGATTCATTTACCACTTACTGGATCACACCTGAAATAACACTTTGTTCCATTTATGGGGCTGCCTTTTAGGAGGGACCCTATTTAAAAAAAAAAAAAAAAGGAGCAGTAAGATTAAAGAGATGTGCAAACCATGTGGTTAGAGGAGTCATAGAAGGCAAGGGAACAATCGTGTTGCAGAAGGAGAGTTGCAGATGAATACAGTCGTCTGAATGTTGAGTGCACTATCATACAGAAGTAGTTAGAAATGAAACCAAAGAGAGGTTGTCAGAGGGTGCAATGGTTAGCTTTCTGTCACTATAACAAATGCCTGCAACCATCAACTTATAAAGAGAAAAGGTTTATTTTGGCTCAGTTTTAGAAGTTTCAGTCCGTGATGTGTTGATCTTTAATGTGTGGTAGCACATCGTGGTGAGAGCTCAGGGCAGAGCAGAAGTGCTTACTTCATAGCTGGAAGTGAGAGAGAGAGTGAGGAAGAGCCCGGAGTCCCATAATCCCCTTCAACAGCACACCCACAATGGCTTCAAGGCCTTCTAATAGGCCCCACCTCCTAAAGGTTCTGCTACCTCCCAATAGCACCACTCTTTGGGGCAGGCCTTTAGCACACAGACTGGGGTGACTCTTAAGACCCAAACAATAGCAGGAGTCAGATTTTTTTTTTTTTAAAGTTGATGGGTACTTTTTTTTTTTTTAAGAGAGAGAGGTAGAGAGAGAGAGAGAATTTTTTAATATTTATTTTTTAGTTTTTGGCGGACACAACATCTTTGTTGGTATGTGGTGCTGAGGATCGAACCCGGGCCACATGCATGCCAGGCGAGCGCGCTACCTCTTGAGCCACATCCCCAGCCCCAGGAGTCAGATTTTGCCTCAGCACCATAGCATACCTCCTGGCAAGTAGACTGACATCTTCTAACTTTCCCCAATACTTCAGCATTTTAAGAGCAAAGAGTAGGTATTGTGTAATCATTAAAATTCATCTGTTCATTTGACAAATGATTACTATGTGTCAGACATTGTTCTGTGTTCTGGGGGTACAGAAAGGAGCAGGCCAAACTTCCTCTGCCCGCAGGAACTTAACGGTCAAGTGTCACCATAGTAAACTGTAAACCTAAGGTAACGTTTAAAACCATGTTTCCATAAGAAGGGTTCAGAGCAATGGCGGGCCGCATATTGCTTTAGCTGTGGTGCTTGGCCATTCAGACACAGCCTGAAGATGCCCATCCAGCCCCACAGAATTCCAACCACCCAACCAGCCTGCTGGGCGGGCAACCAAAACCCATGTCTAAATTTTTGGAAACTGGGTGATGGCTACCTGATCCCATGCTCTCCACCTTTCTGTGGGAAATTTTCCATGATGTAAATGTTTTAATATTAATAAAAGAAACCAGCCATTGCCTTGTGTGAGAGAGAAGCCCCCTTGAAGTCAAGAGCCACACTGATTTCAAAGTCTTAAGCAGCTTAAGCACCAACGAAGAACCACTCATCAGAGACGCTCTAAAAATAACTTCTGTGTTAATTAAGAAGTTGAAATGGATGACCTTAGTTCCCTTTGGATACCGAGTTTATGTTCTAGTGGAAGATCTAAGTTATAATTGGAACAAGCAAACAGGGACCTGGGTAAATTCCAAAGCCAGGGCTCATGGAGTGCTGTGACTTCCTTGCTAACTACACCATGAAACCGAACGCGGATCCTACGCACTTAATGATCACTTTCATGATTATTTTGCCATATTTACTTTAAATCTTTTCTTCTTCTTCTTTTTTTTTTGTTTCTCCTCCAAAAAAGCTTCCTTAAGCCAAAATAGATGTTTATAGTTATTGTATTTTACATGTTTATGCATTTTGGAGCTTCCTCCCTAATCTTAGCTGTATAGAAACTACCTTCACAACAAAATCCATTTTCCCAGAAAGCACCCCATCTAACCTCATCATCTGCAGCCAATTCAGGCTTGCTGCCTGCCTGATGCCCTAACGACACCTTATTGTCCATTATCAGATGATGCCCCTCATCAGCCAAGCCTGTGACCTCCTCCTGGATCACTTAAAGAGCTATGCAGAGTCTGGGGCTGCGTTTGACATCCAGAGGTAAGGCTGCGACGTGACAGATGAGAAGTCACAGTTTTAAACAGCTGCTTCTTGTAACTGTACCTAATCAGGGGACAATTACCTTGGGACTAACAAACTATAGGAATACTAGAAGCTCATAAAAGTATGGATGGACTGAGTCGTGAGAAAAAAAAATGAAACCCACTTAAAAACACGAAACGGAAGTGAGGGGGGCGTGGCCTGTTGAAGAGAACCCTGCAGTGTTGCATTGTCTTCCTCCTTCTGCAGACCCAGGGTGGGAAGGACAGGCCTGGGCAGAAGGGACAGGGACTGGGGGAGAGTCTGTGAATTTTCACATCAAGAAAAATAGTGCAAGAGGCTGGGGTTGTGGCTCAGTGGTAGAGCACTTGCCTAGCACACACGAGGCACTGGGTTCAATTTTCAGCACCACATGTAAATAAATGAATAAAATTAAAATCCATCAACATCCTTTAAAAAGAATTTTAAAAAAAAAGAAAAATAGCGCAGCACCTCCATACGGAAACCACGGCGTGGACATTACACTTAATGGCTGCTCATCTGGCTTTCCTCCTAGAAACCTTTAGTTGTTTGATGCCAAATCGTGGCTTACAGCAAATCACCTGGACGCTGACTCACGATCATCGGTGCACATAAAACTACACCATCATCACCAACATTCACATGCCCACGGGGCTTCTCAACCACATTCCCTCTGATTATAGGATGCAGAAGGTGGCTGAAGATAAGGTGGCCAGTCACCTATGAAAGCAGTGTAAATGACTCTTAAAACCCTTAGATCTCCAGCCATTAGGATCCCATGGAGCCACACTCAGGAGCCTCCGTTTTGTCTTTACTCGGGCGGGCAAATGGGAAATCGGTGGTAGAAGCGTTTCCAAAAGCAGCAGCCAAAACTCTAAAGTCATCTGGAAATGTCATTTACTCCTTACTAAAACAGTGGCTATGGAACTATAGAGGCACTAAATGTGTGCCCACATCCAGGACAGAAATAGACCTTGTAATTATCCAGGATATTAATAACTCAGTTGTTAGTCTTCTTAAAAAGAACTTAAGCTGACTTCTCCCGGAAGAAAGCAAAAAGGGGAAAAAAAAGAAGATAATTCTAGTTTAAAATGGCCTTCTGGGAGACAGGCTTCCTATGGCCCAAGAGGTCAAAGTTTCTGGAGCTACTGCCAGATACTTTCCTCTGTTTGTTTGTCAAGTGCAAAGTGTGCTTTCTGTAATAACACACAGAAGATCGTGAAGCCTGTCCTAAAGTTCGTCTGGTATTTATTTGAGTGGGAAGAGTCCTCATTTTTTGTTTGTTGTTCTTTAAAAAAAAAAAAAACTGTAAAAATCATTAGGAAGAAAAGGAGGGAAAAGTTCATAAAACTCGACCATCAGTTTGTTTGTTCATTAATGACAATTTGACAGATACCAATTCATCACTGGATTCTGACCTTCGCAGGCACAGCCGCCAGGCAAAGCTGTAGGCTCTGGGGCCCCAGGGTTCCCTCCTCCAGAGGCCAGAGAATGTAAAATGTGCCTCTTGGTCGTTGGCTCTGCTCTGCTGGGTCCGGGGCTCCTGAACCCGGTGGTTGACTTAGCCATGCCCTCCGTAAGCTCACTGGGTGCCCCACGTGTGCTCCCACCCTCTGCTGCAGCTGCGCACCCAGCAGCTGCTCTCCCACGTCTCAAGTCCCTCTGCAGGGCAAGGCTCTCCCAGGAGCCAGGGGGCCTCTCTTTGTTGGGAGGGGTGCATGGGGGTAGGCCTCGGCCAGCAACCTTGCAAATTCAAACGTGCCCTTCTCCCTAGGTGCTACTGCTACTACACCACAGACCTGGTGGCCAGTGTCGCCTTCGGCACCCAGGTGGACTCCCGGAAGGTTCCCGAGGACCCCTTTGTGGAATCTTGCAGGCGTTTCTTTGCGTTCTCCATCCCCAGGCCTCTCCTGGTCTTACTGTGTAAGTACAGCTCCTGCCCGGGGCGGTAAGGCCAGACCTGGGGCCACTTGCAGGCTCTATCCATGCGGCTAGGAAAGGACACTTGAGGGTCTCTGAAAGCTGCCCTGCAGGGATGGGGTCTTCCTGGAGTCACCAAGGTTCTCTTGCCACAGCCTGGGGCCACTTATCACCAACACAGGTCGCCCTGGCTTCTGTCACCACCGTGGAGGTGAGAACGGCGGCGACACTCTGAATGCATTGCTTCATTAACTCCTGCCATTCTGCCTCTGAGAAATATCCTTGCCCCCACTTTCCAGATGAAAAAACTGAGGCTTGAGAAGGCAGAGCCAAGACTAGAACCAAAAACCTTTCATTTTCTAGCACATTTTTCTCCCCTCCAGCAAAATCCTCTTCAGAAGACTTCTCGCTGGAAGCCCAATGTACAGTAAACTAGGACACTGTGTGGCAAACACGGAGTTGTTTACAATTGCATAGTAAACATAGAAATTGCTGGGTGGGTGACTAGGAGGTGGCCCAATGCTACAGATACAGGTCCATTGGCTTCATTTTTATTTTACAAATGAGTTTTTGCCCCCCCCCCAACTCCAGCATCTTCTTGCTTTTAAGGAAGCATTGACACATTTTTATTGCTATCAGCAAACTCGCCCTGATTTCCGGCCACTCTGCTGGGCGGGTAAATTCTTAACCAGTTTCATGGGAGGCCCTGTCACCTCCATCAGCTCCACACTGAAACTGTAGATGTCCGTGTAAGGTCCAGCAGTCTCTTCCTGCCCCATCCCTTGAATTACGGGACCCATCCTGTGTCCTGTGGGATGGTGGCCCTATTGTCCCTGCTTCCCCTGATCACTCTGCCTCTTATCTGGGCAGAGTGTTCTGAGACCCCTGAGTGTCCAGAACTGTCTTCTCCAGCCCAGCTCCAGCCCAGAACCCTGTGTGCAGTAGGCCCACCATGGAGCTGAGCTCCCCTGTGGCCAGGCCTCAGCCCCTGGGTCCAGAACCACTCTCCAGGAGGGATTAGGTGGCGCTGACCCAGGGAAGCCTATCCCAAGGGCACAGCACCAAGGACTCAGGCTTATCTGGCATGCAAGGGAGGAGCCCATGGCAGATGGGGCCAGCACTCTTGTCAGCCTTGTAGTAATGGCTCTTAGAGACAATTCAGGTGGTTGCTCTGGGGACAGTTGTCCAGAGAAAGAAATGCAAATGACCGGAAAGTTAAGAAGGTAAATGAGTTTCTACCCCTTGCTAAGACTTGAAGCACAGCCTATGATCTGCTGTCTTGACAGATTAGAAAGACCTCAGTCTGAATATCTAGAACCTGAACCACTAATTCACAAGCTGAGACCTCCTGTCGAGGGCCAGCTGACGGGGAGGACTTGGTCAATCAGGCAGACATTTATTGAGTGCTTACTATGTGCAAGGAATGGTGACAGGGACAGAGATGGAGCCAGACAGAACCCAGCTCTGAGGAGCAGTGATTCCCTGGGGGAGGGGAGGGGAGGGGGCAGGCCTTCGGGATGACTGGCATTCAAGGCGGGCACTTGCTTCCTAGTAACAGGCGTCTAATAGCCATGGGTTATTATGGCCCCCTTTTCAATGCCACTTTTGTTTTTCTTTCAAGTATCATTTCCATCCATAATGGTCCCACTGGCCCGGATTCTGCCCAATAAGAACCGAGATGAACTGAATGGCTTTTTTAACAAACTCATTAGGAATGAGATTGCCTTGCGGGACCAGCAAGCTGCAGAAGAGGTAACGTATTTTAATAGGATACAGCCTGCAAACAGAATGGAACCTAATTTGCCATCGCTCTCTCTCCTTTTTCTTCCCTCCCAACCCCACACATCACGCCATGCTGTCCTCCAGCAATCTGCTACCCTGAGCTTTCCAGGGGCAGTGGAAAGCCAAGTGGAAGGTCAACGAGAACAGGGAGGAGAGGTGGGAAAGGACAGGAGGAGGAAAAGCCCCAAGCAATGGGTCCCTCCCCTGATGTGGCGACCAGAATGAACGCTGCCCCCCCCCCACCAAACTGCCTCTCCAGCTCAAACATCACCCCAAGCGCAGGTTAGAGAAGCCCATAAGAATCTTCTAGGTAAATGTGCCCCATGTAATTTTCATGAGCATATTCTTTTTATTGAAAAATGGCAAGACGGAGTGTCATAGCATGAATAGCATAAATATTAGAGAGAAGTTTGTGCAACTGTCAATCAATCCCACGATCCCTTTCAGGGTAGAAGATGTTGCTACAAAATCTGTGGTTGAGTGCCTTCTGGTCTCTTTAGCAGGCTTCATTTGAGATCTAGAGCTTTCTTTCCTCCTTACAGACTTGCACTCTGCTTGGCACATAGTGGGAATCGAGTAAATATTTGTTGATTGAACTCGGCTAAGAATAGAAGTAAGAATTTTCACTGTGAAGGAAGATCATTTCAATACCGGATATGCTCATGCATGCATAAATGCTGTTCTTTAAGGGCCTCGTTGCATTCAAGAAACTTACTGAAAGGAAAAACGAGGCTGAAAGGGCTTTTCCTTAACTGACTTGTTCAAGATGGAGCTTTAAAAGGGTTTTCCCAAAGACTGAGTGGCTCAGAGGAATTCATGAGGTCCAATGGTTAAAGCATTGGCCTAGAATGAAATCAGAGTCGATTAGTGGCTGGATTCAGAGAGCAGCCTTGGGCGGCGGCCTTGTCCTCTCATCTTCATACCCTGGGGACCGTACAGCAAGTGCATCTGGATCCACAAGACATGGGAGGGTTTATACAAACTCTTGGCCCCTTGGCCCACACCACTATAAACTCAACTTGAATGTGCTTGGAGCTGTGGGAGGAATCGGCTCACTGGTCTACCTAGCCTGACTCTGAATCCCGAAGGACAGAGCGCTCCTGTCCAGGTGCTGCCTTCTTGGCAGCGAGGAGACAGGCTGAGGGAGGAAGGATAAAGAAAAATTTTGAACCTTAATAGCACTGTAAAGGACTGCCCTATGCAAGCCTTCTCTCTGTCTCTCTCTCTCTCTCTCTCTTTCTCTCTCTCTCTCTCTCTCACACACACTCACTCCCCACACCCTACACTCCAAGCCTGAAACCCACTGGTTGTGGAATCAAGCTGAAAATTTTAAAAACTGTTTCACTGAGTGACTTACTAAGAGGTGAGAGGTTTTTAAAGATCCGATTACTGGGATTGCCTAGAGCTTTTCCTTTTATAAACTCTAAAGCTATTTGTTTCAAACAATGAGTTGATCTGAGAGAAACCTCCCCACCACAAATCCAGGACTGCCCGTGTCAAGACTGAGCTATAAGGTTACTAAGAAAACTCACTTGAAAGCCATCGGAACTCTGTATACATTCCATCAAGCAGATGTGTGTTTGTGCAGAGAAAACGCTGCACAGATGTTAAAAGGTAAATATTTTTCTAAGCTCTAGCCGTTGGGTGGATTAGACACCTACATCCATCAGGACGCGTATTTTTCTTGGATACAACCATAAACCAGCACTGTTTTGGCCCTAAATGGGTAGTGTTCAGATAGCCTCCATGATGCCGTGGGAATAATAGGAACCGTCCACACTAATGTTCCTCTGCAGCGCAGAAGCCCTGGAGAGCAGCCCTTCCCTCCAACCTCATTAGCTGGAGGTGAAGGCACATTTCTGCAAGCCTCCACCGGCCCGTTAACAGGCTGGCTGAGCTGGGGTCAGAGGAAAGACTGCCAGCTGCCCTCTGCCCCTGGAAAAACACATGGTTTGGACGTGGCTCTGCCGTGTCATCATCCCCACCCCGCCCCCGCAAAGCCACACCAAGTCTCAGGGACCACAACTGTGTCGCAGCCTGAGGAGGTTCAAACGGACCACCTGAGAGGTCCAGGGATGCTGTGGAGTCCCTCGCTGGCTCGGGGAGCAGCGGGTGCTCCTTTCTCCCTGACACCACCCCCAGATCTCCACCCCACCCTGGTTCTGCTCTGCGTTCACAGGGATGTCGTGGGACTGCAGCAGCCACCAAGTTAGCCAAACAGCAAGAGGGATGCTGGGGAATGCCATCCCTCCAGGATGCCACTTAGACATCTACAGGAGCAGGGTCAGGGCGGAATGAAGAGGCCGACTCTTGCTGACCCTTGGCCGTTTTCTCAGCTATTAGATGCCAAGCAGCAGCAGAGGCTCCCTTTCTTGGCCCCAACATGTGCGACATCCACAGCCTTAGCCCTGAGCTCTGCTAGGGCTGAGCTCTGCTCATCAGACACCTCGAAGGTCACAGAGCGGGGATGCCTTCTGCTCTAAATAACTTGCAGTTGTTATCAAACCCAGCTCACCCTTCCTCAGAGGGTGTTTATGGCTTTACATTTTGATTGGTGGAATTATTTATTGCATATCGAATATGGGCTCAGCACAGAACTAGGCACGTATGGGGGCTGGGCGGAGGAGCCTGCCCTGGGGATGCTTATAACCTGATGGAGCAGAAAAGGCAACCACACCTGAAATCACAACAATCTTCATAGAGGAATCACATTTTTTTAAAAAGATGGCATTACATGCTAATGTGTGGGGCATAGATTATTCATGCAATAGAAATTCAGAAGCCAATGAACTGAGAAAAGGCTGCAACTAGCAAAGTACTTTGAAATTAAAATATTTTCCTGGTGGGGGTTCTGATACTCTTCTTTTGCTGTTTTAATTCCATCAACTTCAGAAAGGAACATCATCTTGGTTGTCATTCATCACATTAAAGGGCATTTCAAAGAAGAGATGCACCAGGCATACACTTTGTTAATGCTCAAGCAATATGTAAACACTCCTATAGTTAAAATTAGTGTCCTAAAAATATAAGGAATATGCAAATTGCTGATAAGAAAGGTAGGGGAAATGGTAAGAAAGCTCTAACCACTTAAATGGGGGTGAGGATTTACTGAGAACAAAAGGGATGGATAGGAAGCAGAAAGCTAGGTCTGGGGGCTTTGAAGACATGCTCCATCGGTCAGCTCCATCCCCTGTCCCCCAGTTCTGTTGACTTTCTACCATGAGAGAAAACTTCTGACTGCCCAGAGGAGCTCTAAATTGCGCATGAGTGAGCAACTGAGCTTGGGCTCTGGTTTAAATCTATAAGAAGCTTTCTTGTGCTCTTATCAGAGAAACAACCAACAGTACAAACATATCAGAGTAAAAAGTGAATGCTCCCCTGGTTTCCCACCTCCCCCAGCTTACTAGGAACTGTTAAGTGTGGTTAAACATTGCTAAATGTTTTCCATGCAGAGATGTATACACATGATTACACATATTGTGTACTTATTGTTTTTACAGAAATTAGATTCCACGCATACGGCTCCCCAATGTTTTTTTGTTTGGTTTGCTTAACAAAGTGACTCCACACCTTTCCATACCAACCCAGAATGGCCTCATCTCAAATGGATAAAGGAAATGTAGTGTATAAACCCCGTGGAATATTATTTAGTCATTAAAAATAATGAAATCAGACTAGGGTTGTGGCTCAGCAGTAGAGTGCTCTCCTTGCACGTACAAGATCCTGGATTCGATTCTCAGCACCACATAAAAATAAATAAGTGAAATAAAGGTATAGTGTCCAACTACAACTAAAAAATAAATGTTAAAAAAAATGGAATCATGTCATTTGCTGCAACATAGATAGCAACTGTTATGGTATGTGAAATAAGCCAGACACAGAAAGACAAATGCAGCATGTCCTCTGTCACATGTGGAAACTAATAATAAAGTGGATTTTCTTTCTCATAGAAGTAGAAAGTAGAATCGTGTCATTAGAAGCTGGGAAGGATGTGAGGGAAGGAGAGGCTAGAGGGCTATTGAATAATGGTACCAAATCCTATTAGATTAAAGGATTAAGTCCCAGTGTTCTGTAGCACAGTAGGGTGACTATAGTTTACAGCAGCTTATTTCACATTTTGTAAAGAAATAAAAATGAGTTTGAAAGTTCCCAGCACAAAGAAATGATAAATATTTAAGGAGATGGAAATGCTAAGTATTCTGACTTGACCATCACACATTAAATACATTAATCACACTATACTCCATAAATATGGGCAATTAGGGGGGAAAAAAGCATGGTGCTTTTTTTTTTTTTTTTTTTTTTCGGTGCTGGGGATGCGCCCGAGGCCTCGTGCTTGCCAGTGCGCTCTGTGCCGCTGAGCCCCACCTCGGCCAGCCTGCCTTGTTGTCCATCAGCGTCACAGTGTGCCCGCTGCTGCCCAAGTCTAGGGAACGATGAGGTGGTCTCCAGGTCCTGGCCATCTCAGATACCCCCGTGACAAGGATCCTGTTCCTACCGAGCTCTTCAAAAGTTAGGCCATGCGTCTCCTTCCTCTGTCCTCCAAGAAACCTCCTTCGGCGACTCTAAGGTCACAATGTGCATTTTGCTCTGTCCTTAGAGGCGGAGAGACTTCCTCCAAGCAGTGCTGGACGCCCGGCACTCTGCGCACTCCGTGGGCCTGGACGACTTTGACCTTGCCAAGGAGGTCCCCTCCTCTGGCAAGGGCACAGCGGACCCCTCCCAGCAGCAGCCCAGAGCCTTGTCTGCGCCTTTGACCGTGGATGAGATCGTGGGTCAGGCCGTGCTCTTCCTCATCGCGGGCTATGAGATGGTCGCCAACACACTGTCCTTTGCCACCTACCTGCTGGCCACCCACCCCGACTGCCAGAAGAGGCTTCTGAGCGAGGTGGACCTCTTCAAGGAGAAACATGTGAGTACAGGTGGGGTCCTCAGGGGACCAATTTTGTGCTCCTGGGAGTGAAACTTGTTTGACTAACTTGCTAATCTCACACCCTAAGTTCATGAGATGAAATCAGGCCGCTGCTGGCCTTCTCCATCTCTCTGGTCCAGTGAGTAAAATAGAGGGGTCAGAAAAACAGAAGGAAAAAAAGGCAGATGGTGTGGGAACCTTCACTGTCTGGGACTGCCCCCAAACTGGCCAGGGAACCTGCAAAGTCCCAGGAAGGTTTGGGCGTACACGGGCAGCATCTGGGAAGGAGATGTGGCCTTCCCGACATTGCCTGTGAAGTGGCCACGCTGGGGGAGACAGGTGTGAGCCAGAAAAGGCAGCTGGGCCGAAGGACAGGCCCAGCTGAAGCAGGACTGGAGACCGGCTGAGCTGAGGAGGGCCACAGGCGGAGGGAGGTGGAGGTGGCTGGTAAGGTGGGTCTGGGCCTCTGGGTATTCCTCCAGATCAGGCCCTTCACGGCCAACTTGCCTGGTTGGTGAGCCAGGCTACTTTCACCTCGTGTGTCTTCTGGATGCTTGTGCATGCGTGTGTGCACGTGTGTGTATGCATGTCAGCGGGGGCTTCAACCTGTGAGTTGTTAAACAGAATCATTTAAAAAATCTGTGCTTTCAAATGGCATCCTTTCTATTACATTCTGATGTCATTATTATTACCCTCACAATTTCGGAAGGTGGCTTGTTCTCTTATTGGAATCATTAGAAAAAAAAATTTGTATATAGTAAGCTACAAACTAATTCCTGGAAAATTTCACTTCTCTATCCTCCTGGGGAGGCAGAGGCAAAGTTTGTCTTTCTTCTCCATTAGCAGCTTTTAAACATTTGAAAACTGAGTCACTGTGTGATTAATTCTCTCAATTTGGGGTTCAACGTGAGCTTATGGTCCACTTCAAGTTCTGTGTTGTTATGGCAACTGCCAAGCCAGGTCTCCCAGTCCCCTGCTTATACAATTGATCTTTTGAGCCTAGATGCAAGAGTTTATATTTATTCTTATTACTGTTCAAGTCAGTCAAAATAATTTTGAATCTTGATTCTGCCATCTGTCATATTAGCAGTTCCTCCAGCTTTGTGTCATCTGAGACTTGCTAAGCATGTCTCCTATTTCATCTAAGTCATTGATTAAAATGTTGAACAGGACAGGGCTCCCTCCAGATTGACATTGATCCATCAATCAATATTCTTCGGGCATGGAGTCTCAGCAAGCTGCGAATCCCAATAACCCTAGCACCTCTCTCATCCTGTTTTATAGGTACTTATTTAATATTTGGTTTAAATTGAGGAGGGGGTGGAGGGACCAAAGATGATTGGAGCACACTGGAGCAAGAGAAACCAGGGGAGCTGGAGGGCTTCCCTGTAGGTACCTTTAGTTGCAGGTAACAGAAGCCCAACTCAAACTGATCTTAACAAAAACACAAACTCACAAATTTATATTTATGAATGCAAATAATCACACAGCTCAGGGATAGATGTTGCTTCAGGAAAATCTCTATCCAGGCCTCAAAATATGTGCTCAGGCTCCAGGATCTTCTGCCCAGTTCCTGGCTGTGCGTCCGTATGATGGGCCCCATTTGGGATCATGCTGTCCTCTGGAAGCTTCAGGAAGCCTGCCGGGAATGTCTGTGACCACACACTTCCTTGATCCTCCCCAGTGAAGAGGGTCTGTGGCCTCAACTTCCCAGCAAGAGTCAGGAAGGGCACTCTGATGGAACGCTAAGGTCACTGCCCATTCTGGACCCCATTTTCATGGTCAGGGAATGGGGGTCCCCATGGCCTCATGCCAATCAGACCCCAGCCCCAGGTCATTTGGCTGAGAACTTGGGAGAATGACTTCCTCAAGAATGCCGAAGGCGCCATCCCAGGAAGGCATCAGCAGGAGGCCCAGCCCCAAGTCCCAAATAAACCAGGAGGAGGTGCCCGGCAGCAAGTAGAGCTGACAGAGGAGAGGCTTAGAGAGGGGGCGGAACTCCGAGAGGTAGAAGTCCTGATGGGCACCTTGAGGGAACTTAAAGGCTGATTGATAAACAATTCAGTTGGATCTATTAAACGATATCTCCCTTCCATATTAAACCCGCCAGGGCAGTAAAAGGCAGCAAAAATTGATTCTAGAATATGGCTTCATTTGGAGAGCTACAGAGCCCTAGGAACCCGCCTATCACATGAGCTAAGACCCCGTCAGGCCTGGGTGAGCTTCCATCTAAAGCCCTCCCGCACACAGGGTACCTCTGTCATGGCCTGAACTGACCTTGACCTTGAGGAGAGCCACCCTGGCCTCGTCAATCTTGGATCAGGCCTTCTTCCCGGGGGCCATCTCCCATGGGTTGTGCCAAATAGCCCAAGGCATGGAAGAGATTACCTGGGCAAATAAACTGATTATACAGAGAAAGGTTTCCAAACTTGAGTGCATGCAAAATCATTTGATAAGACAATATAAAATGCATATTCTAGGGCCCTGGATTCAGAGGTTCTGATTCCATAAGTCTGGGCTGGGGCTTGGGAACATGTATTTTTTAATAAACATCCTCAGGTGGGGACACTGGTTCCACTTGGAGAATGTAATCTTGGACTCTTAGGGCCCAGATCCCTCTTCCAAGAAAAAAAAAAAAACAGCATCCAATGCCCTGCCCCAGCCTCACAACCCCACTCTGTAGATCATATTCTTTCCTCAGGCAATGTTTGGGATGGTCTTTGACAAATGAGAATAACTAGTTGTTGTCTTTTAAAAAAATAAATTTGGTAGTCACAATAGCATTTCTTTGTGTGGCCTTGCTCAGGATACCCACTCGATTAAATTTGTAAGTTTTCTTTTCTTTCTTTCTCTCTTGTTTTATTTTTTTTAATTTTTAAATTTTTTTTTTTTTTTACTATAATCAGAGCTCTGTTAATATGGGCCATCTGTCAGGACAGGGAAATGCAGATTAGATGTTCACACATTAGCTATTTTCCTGAAAATATTCCTGAGAATTTGCATGTAAAGTATGACTTGTTATAATTTTCCTGCTGGTTTCCATTCAACAAATATTTCTCGAGTGCCAGTTAATGCCAGCTCCTGGGGCTCAGGACCCTCCCTCACACCGTTTTTTGCTAGAGTAGAGAGCACCCCCCCCCCAGGCCCCTGTGCCGCCTTTCCTTGGGTTTGTCCGTGAGGTCCCTGGATTCCAGCTGGAGTTCACTGGAGCTGCTTCCCCTGAGCCATTTCCTTCTACCAACGTCCTTTGAGCATCTGAGGGGAACCTGTCCCTCCAAAGAAAAGAGTGGGTATGTGCATTGAAACTCCTTCCCTGAGCGTGACAGAAAGTGGCCCAGACTTCTCAGCCCCCAGAGCTACAAACTCCAGAGGGGCAGGCTGCTTTCAGACACCGCTGGATGCAGCAGCTCCAACCCCGTTCCCCAGCGGCTCTCTCCACATCTCTCACCTTCACTTGCGCCTTCGCCCTCTGGGAAGGTCCCTCTAGTCATCTCTAGATGGCTGAGTGACTAGTACTTTGCACCATGTGAACTCAGTGAGGTACAAACATGAAACCATGTGGTGTTTTCGCCAATTCTTTTTTTTAAAACATGCTTTCCTTTCCCATTTCCGGACACCTGGGGCAGATCTCAAAGGTGCCTGTCACTTTGAGGCATTAAAAAGTCCAGACCCATCTGGTTCCGATTAAAACTTCAGTCTCAGATGCAGCTCAACACTCTGCTGTGCCTTCCACCCAGGCCGACCCATGGCCCAAGGAAGCCACCCTGGAAGGGGTGGGGTCTGCTCTTCCTCCTGCCTTCTTCCTGCCGCACCTGCTGGACCCCCTTCTTCTCCAGGGCTTGGGTGTCACAAGAGATCCCAAGTCCTACCCTCCGGGGCTGCTGTCTGCACCTTCTTTGAGGAGCAGATGCAAGAGTGGTTCAGAGGGACTTGGGGCAGCCCCCACAACACAGTTCCCTGACCGGGGAGACCAGCTCCAGAGGCCAGCTCCCATTCACAGTTTTGGTGCTACAGTCTCCTTGTGGCAATCAGCCAATGATCTCATTGGCAAGAAGGCTTGAGCCTCGATGCCTCCTGTAGCATCCACAGGACCCACAGAAAGCACACTTCTTACCACACCAGCAGTGGTCACTCCCTCTGCCAGCCCCTCCCCCACCCTGACATCTCTTTCCAATTATCTATCCTCTCCTCAAACAGGTAGAGAGGGCAAATCAGCAATTCTGCTGCATTGTGCAGATGACCAAGGAGAACAGAAGGCCAGGCCCGGGGGCTGCCTTCATCTCCATAAGTCATGCATAGACTCCGTGGTTCCCAGATGAGAGCCTCTCATTTTCCAGTTTCTTGTCATGCAGTCATGTTCCTTCTGAACTTTGAAACACCAGCTTTCCAAATTCAGGGGCCTAAGTCCAACAATGTCTGGGACAACCTCTCTTGTGTATTCTTGTACATGATGCAGCCACTCCATGCTGCCTGTGGTGCAGAGCCAGTCAATCCTTCCTAATGGTTAAAGACAAAGCTGGCAGTTTGCCTGGTTGCACACTGAACCATCGGGAAGTGAAGATGTCATCCATGAAGGTCGGTAACTCAGATGATATATTTTCAGCAGAACCAAACCCTGGCACAAGAAGGACACCTTAGGCGCTTCCTTCACTATTGGGGAAAATCTTATACATGTGTTTTGGCCCACATCTTCTGTCTGGCAACCTCCCATCTCTTACCAGCTACTTTGACCCAAATGACCTTGATTGCCTTTCTCCTTTCAAGGATGGACTTCTGTTCCATTGTATAACACAGTCATAACCACTTGATAAATCATGCATCTAGGCTGCTTCTTCCTAGGAAACATAAATTTTCTTCCACTTCATCTGATTTAGGAATTTTGTATAGCCTCCCCTACACTTGTCCACCATCAAAAATCAATTTAGGGCTGGGCATGGTGGTGCACACCTGTAATTCCATCGGCTTGGGAGGCTGAGGCACAAGGATCATGAGTTCAAAGC